CTTTCTCTCACATGCCACATCTGAGGTGTCAAAAAATCCCATGGGCTCGATGCTGAAAATATATTTAGAATCCATCCACTTCTCACCACCTCCACTGCCACACCCTGGCTTGAGTCACTGTTGTCTCTCACCCGAATTTCTGCTGTGGCCTCTTAACTGGTCTTCCTGCTTTTACTCTTGCCTCCTGTTGACTATTCTCAAAGTAGTAGCAAGAATGAGTCTTTCAAACAATGTCAGATCGTTATCAGTTGTCTTTTCAAAACTCGGTAGTGGCTGTCATTTCATTAAGAGTAAAAGCCAAAGTCCTATAATGGCTTAAAGACATTATGTGGTCAACCCTCTTTATTTCTCCAATAGCATCTTCTATTAGTTTTACTCTGTTCACTTACTCATGACAACCTTGGCCTCCTTGTACATGCCGGATATATTACTCCCTTGATCTGGAACTAACTCTCTTCCATCATGACTCTGCTCAAATGCCGTCTTCTGATTAAGGATGACCCTTCCCCCCTATTTAATATTGGAGCCCCCTCCTTCACTCCATGTCCCCAGGATACCCCATCTCCCTTCCTTGCTCTGTTCTTTCCCCCCATCTATGGCATATTGTATCATCCAAAGATTGTATTTTCCAATACCTCCAAGTTCTGCATTCTCTCTTAGAATCTTGCAACAGCTCCTCCATCCATCCTTGGAGAGAGAGAGAGAGAGAGAGAGAGAGAGAGAGAGAGAGAGACTACTTCCCCTTCCCAAGAACATATACAGTTATTACTTGCTTATAATCAATAGCATGTTGTAGTAGTGATGCTGTGATGTCCAAGTCTAGGTCACTTACTTTCTACCTTGTTAGCTATGAAGCTCACTTTGGATCTATGAGCTGCCGTGTAAGAAGTCCACTATCTGAGGCAGCCACGGTGTGAGGAAGCCCAGTCCACCCGAAGAGGCCATGTGTAGGTGTTCTAGCTGACAATCCCAGCTGAGATCCCATCTGGCAATTTGCATCAATCACTAGACATGAAGTGAAGACTCTTGCAGATGCTTCCAGCCCCCCAGCCTTAGAGCCTTCCAAGTCCTGGCTTCAGACATCATGAAGCAGAAACAACTATTCACCCTGTGCCCTGTCCAAATTCCTGACTCACAGAATCAGTGGGCACAATAAATTAGTTGTTTTATGTCACTCAGATTTAGGGTAGTTTATTACATAGTAAACAGTATTTGTCACTAGCACATGGCATTATTTACTAACATATCCCATTAAGTGACTATAAAATAGCTTAGTTTTAAGTCTACTGCTATTTCCTGTTTCCCCTGGTAGAACAGAAGCTTCGTGAGGGCATGGATCTTTGTCTGTTTTGTTCACTGTCATATCTAAAATATCTGGACTAGTTCTTGGGAATAGTAAATACTCAGTAAAAATTTAATGAATAAATTTGTGATTGTACAACTGAACTGAATTTTAGAAGACACAGCTTCCTTATTGTTGAGAGGTACCTTCTATGCCAACTTGTCAAACCCACTCGTTGGTAAGAAAAACCAACAACACACTGCGCAGTGTAGGGGAGTGACAGGCAGTAAACAGAGCGCATGGCATGCTGTTTGAAAGTGGGATTGAGACCCAGGCATCCTGTCTTATAGAACACAGTCTTCAAGCAGTGCTGTGACTCCTGCACAGCATGTAGACTCGAGGCGTCACAGGGGCCTGATGATCAAAGCCATACCCAGTGACAGTCTAGGAGAGGGAACTGGCACACTGTGGAAAGACTCCCATTAAGTAATGTTTTTCAATTAACCTCCAGTTAATTGAAAAGTGCTGTTAACTAGAAGCTAAGCATTCCAGCTAACTGGTTAATATAATTTGGAACTAATTGAGGTCAAGGCTAGTCTAGTTAGTGGTATTTCCAAATGATGGAACAACATGTATTATTTTATTTTTCATTATAAAGGCAGTTTACTTCCATGCCAGAAAGTTTGGGAAAAACAAATGCACAAACAAACAGACATTGTATCAGTGTTAAATTGCCTCACTTTTATCACTGTGTTATGGTTTTTGGAAGAGTGCTGTTATCAGAATATCTGTGAGGTGTGTCCCCCAAAGTCAGGCGTTG